TTTCTCAATAATATTAAAAACCTAAAAACGATTGCTGTGGAAGATAGAAGTTATTGTGACAGCCCTCTGACTGTGGAGGAAGTCTGTACTTCCATTTCTGCACTTAAGGCCAATAAATCTCCCGGCACAGATGGTTTGACTGCAGAGTTTTATAAATATTTTTCTAATCTCCTGGCCCCGTGTTTACTGCAGGTTTTTACAGAAAGTATAGAGAATAACACTCTCCCTCCTACTCTTACTCAAGGTCTCATAACACTTATTCCAAAACCAAACAAAGACTTACTTTTTATTGATAATTGGAGACCCATCTCCCTGCTCAATAATGATTATAAGATTATGGCTTTAATACTTGCTAACAGGATTAAAGAGGTCTTGGACACAATTATTGATGAGACACAATCAGGCTTTATGCGAAATAGACACATTTCTAATAACTAGACTGGTTTTGGATTTACTTGATTACTCTGATTTGGTATCTAACAATAGCTTCATTCTTTTCCTGGATTTTTATAAGGCTTTTGATACAGTTGATCAATTTATTTTCCATTCTTTGGAAAAATTTGGCTTCGGCAGGTTTTTCTGTAAAGCTGTCAAAACCTTATGCACAAATGGCAATAGCTCTATTAAAATGATTAACAGCTCCACCCCGAGATTTGACCTGAAACGTGGTATTCGCCAACGATGTCCTATATTTCTTCGTCTTCGTCTTCCTCCGCTTATCCGGGTCCGGGTCGCGGGGGCAGCATCCCAATTAGGGAGCTCCAGGCCGTCCTCTCCCCGGCCTTGTCCACCAGCTCCTCCGGCAGGACCCCAAGGCGTTCCCGGACCAGATTGGAGATGTAACCTCTCCAATGTGTCCTGGGTCGACCCGGGGGCCTTCTGCCGGCAGGACATGCCCGAAACACCTCCCCGGGGAGGCGTCCAGGAGGCATTCTGACCAGATGCCCAAACCACCTCAACTGGCTCCTTTCGATCCGGAGGAGCAGCGGTTCTACTCCGAGTCCCTCCCGAATGTCCGAGCTCCTCACCCTATCTCTAAGGCTGAGCCCGGCCACCCTACGGAGGAAACTCATTTCGGCCACTTGTATCCGCGATCTCGTTCTTTCGGTCATTACCCAAAGCTCATGACCATAGGTGAGGATTGGGACGTAGATCGACCGGTAAATCGAGAGCCTGGCTTTCTGGCTCAGCTCCCTCTTCCCCACGACAGATCGGCTCAGCGTCCGCATCACTGCAGACGCCGAACCAATCCGCCTGTCGATCTCCCGATCCCTCCTACCCTCACTCGTGAACAAGACCCCGAGATACTTAAACTCCTCCACTTGAGGTAGGACCTCTCCCCCGACCCGGAGGTGGCAAGCCACCCTTTTCCGGTCGAGAACCATGGTCTCAGATTTGGAGGTGCTGATCCTCATCCCAGCCGCTTCACATTCGGCCGCGAACCTACCCAGCAAGAGCTGAAGGTCAGAGCAGGATGAAGCTAGGAGGACCACATCATCCGCAAAAAGCAGAGACGAGATTCTCCTGCCACCAAACTCGACACACTCCACACCACGGCTGCGTCTAGAAATTCTGTCCATAAAAGTGATGAACAGAACCGGTGACAAAGGGCAGCCCTGGCGGAGTCCAACCCTCACTGGGAACAGGTCCGACTTACTACCGGCTATGCGGACCAAACTCACGCTCCTCTGGTAAAGGGACTGAATGGCCCTTAACAGAAAGCCACCCACCCCATACTCCTGGAGCGTCCCCCACAGGGTGCCCCTGGGGACACGGTCATAAGCCTTCTCCAAATCCACAAAGCACATGTGGATTGGTTGGGCAAACTCCCATGCCCCCTCCATCACCCTTGCAAGGGTATAGAGCTGGTCCACAGTTCCACGGCCAGGACGAAAACCACATTGCTCCTCCTTTATCTGAGATTCAACTATCGATCGGACCCTCCTCTCCAGTACCTTGGCGTAGACCTTTCCAGGGAGGCTGAGGAGTGTGATCCCCCCATAGTTGGAACACACCCTCAGGTCACCCTTCTTAAAGATGGGGACCACCACCCCGGTCTGCCACTCCCTAGCAACTGCCCCCGATGACCACGCAATGTTGTAGAGACGTGTCAACCATGACAGCCCTACAACATCCATAGCCTTGAGATACCCAGGACGAACCTCATCCGCCCCCGGGGCTCCGCCGCTGTGTAGTTGTTTGACTACCTCAGCAACTTCTGCCCCCGAGATCGGACAGTCCATCCCCAGGCCTCCCAGCTCTGGTTCCTCCTCAGAATGCGCATTGGTAGGATTGAGGAGCTCCTATATTTCACCATATTTATTTTTACTTTGTACACAAATTCTTGCAACTAATATTTCAAACAGTGTTGTACAAGGAATCACCATAGCTGATAAGGAGCTCGTGATTAGCCAGTTAGCCGATGACACCACACTCTTCTTAAAAAAATGCAAACCAAATCCCTCTAGCTCTTAGTGTGAGACTTCTGAGGCCTCTGGTTTATGCCTAAATCTAAAAAAGTGTGAGTTGCTAGCAATTAAAGACTGCCCTGCAAATACTGTCTGTAATATTTCTGTTAGACAGGAAGTCACATACCTGGGACTGTTAATATCCAAAGATCAAAAATCAAGATGCTCTTTAAACTTCACTCCAATTATACAGAAAACCCTAAAAAAAGTTCAACCGGTGGCTGCAGAGGGACTTGTCTTTGAAAGGTAGAGCGTTAATTACTAAAGCTGAAGGTGTCATGGTCGGAGGCAATTTCTTGACCCACGACATGCAGAATCACACACGGAAACCAGGAAGGTAAGTAAAAGGGTTTATTTTTGGAAATAATGAGCAACGAAGGATCGGGACTCGACGAGATGCAGGACTGGCAGCAGGGCTCCAGGGGGAGGTTTCTAAGGAGGGAGACAGAGTGAATAACTAATGGAAACAGACGGAAACTTAACTGGAGACTGGTCTTACTGTTTCTTGGCAGCACTAAATGCACCGGGAGGGTTGTCGGATCCGGGTGAGCTGAGGATATCCAAGAAGGGTGGTTGGTTTGTCCAGAGGTGTAGGAGCCGAGATGGATGTGGTAGGTGAGCGGCTGAGAGCGGGCGGTCAGAGGATGGAGCAGTGTGTTAGGTAGGTTGTGATCCGGGTTTGTTCTGGAGAGGCTGAGGACGTTAAGAGGAACCTGGGAAAAAAGCAGGAGAGGGCATAAAGGGGTTTTCAGACGACAGGTTATCACGAGTACAAATGCAAAACTGTCACGGTCTGGTTAGTGGCTAGCGCTACCCAAACTGAGTAAATCATCTGGCATGGTGAAGCATCACACTGCTCCTTAAATCCCCTGGCCTTGATGAGGAGATCAGCTTCAGCTGGGAGCTCTCAGACACGCCCACCTGTGGAAACAAGCTCAGAGTAGAAAAACCAGGTTACAGGCAGACAGCTCACCACGGACCATGACAGAAGGGTTATCCCGATTAACATATGCTGCTCCCTCTTTACATTTGGGTAAGGAAATTGGTAAAGATATTGACCGTATGCTCTTTAATTTATATGGAAAAACCGTACGCATTATATTAGGAAAACTGTTGTGATGAATAAGTACGAATCAGGAGGGCTTAACGTCCTAGACTTTTCTACTTTAAATAACACTTTCAAAATTAACTGGGCTAAACATTTTCTTAAAAACCATACCTCTATCTGGAACCTTATACCATATCATATTTTCTCTTGTTTTGGTGGCTTTAATTTTATTTTAAATTGTAATTACAATGTTGAGAAACTCCCTATAAAACTTTCACCCTTCCATAAGCAAGTCCTCTTAGCGTGGACCCTCATTTATAAACACAACTTCTCACCTCACAAATATCTTATCTGGAACAACAGAGATATTTTATTTAAAAATAAATCACTTTTCCTGGAAACTTGGGTCCAGAATGGGATCCTATTGGTGGCTCAGCTGGTTAATAAAGAGGGACAACTACTTACTTACATCGACTTTATTGCCCTATATAATTTCCCAATCAGTGTTCAGGAATTGTCAATGGTGCTTGGTGCCATACCCTCAGGGGCTTTAATGTTATATAAAAACACTGACAGCTCAATATCTACCTCAGTCACTCTCCCTAATCCAGTTGAGTCACCAATAGGAAAAATCTGCTTTTCTCTAGAACTTGGTAACAGCAATAAGAGAATACGTAGTTTATTACAGAAAGATATCGTCTCTCTCCCGTATATAATATCTTATTGGAACCGATATGTTCCAGATATCAAGTGGAAGACAGTCTGGATGATCCCCCAGAAATATTTTATTGTAAATAAGGTGAAAGAAGTCTCATTTAAACTTCTACATAAATGTTATCCAGCCAGTCATTACATGGTAAAATTTAAAAGGGTCATAAACACTAATTGTACTTTCTGTGGGGATCATCCAGAAACTGTGACACATCTTTTTTGGTGCTGTTCTTTTACACAAAGATTCTGGAAGGAATTTAGCAGGTTTGTTACTGTCCATATTTTAAGGGAGTTTTCTTTACGATGGGAAGATGTTTTGTTCTGTTTCTTTAAGTTCCCCATGAAGAATGATAAATGTTTTTTTTATGATAAATCTGTTAATACTTTTAGCTAAATTCTTTATTCATAAATGTAAGTTTACTAACAAAACACCAAATTTCTGTCATTTTTAAGCATGTGGAATTGTACATAAAATCAATATCAGAATCCACCAACAAAAAAAGCTCTCAAAACAATATATATGTGAATTTTTGCGTGTATTCTTATAATTGTTACTTTTTTCTTTTACCTCTGGCTTTGTGTGTTCATGTTCTGTTGTTTTGTATACTTCATTCGTTTCTATGTTGTATACTCATTGTTTGTTAAATAAAGTAAAAAAATAAATAAACGCTGACGTTTCCTCCTCCAAGGTCTAGCTCATCGACATATATACGTCTAGCTGCAGACTGTTATTGAAAATGTTGGCTGGTACTTTTAGTTTTCAAGACAGGAAGTACGTCATTCGCATCAAGGTCAAAGTTCATCGTTGACGCAGGCGGACTTGTGGTGGTTGAAAGCTTCGCGGGAAACGTCCCGAAACAAACGACGGTTTGAGCAGCGGCGCGCGAGCTTTTCACGTTAGAACGAGGGATTCGAGTCACGTTAACTACGCGCGCTGACATCTACCGGAGACTCGACCGGGGGGAAACGGAGTGGTTCGGGAGAAATGGCGGAAAGGCCCGAAGACCTAAATCTTCCCAACGCGGTGATCACCCGCATCATCAAGGAGGCGGTGAGTGAAACCCGCCGGGTCCGGGTTCCACCGGTTACCGTCTGATTCCACCCACTGTCCGGATTAAACAGACCACAGATCAGCTGTGTGTTCATTCAGTCCCAGTTTACAGTTGTTGTGGGTGTTGGTGACGTCACATGAAACCAGAGACGTTCACGGTTTGGCTCTTAGAGCTTTGGTTCATCAGATCTCCTCTGGTTGAGGGTACTGTTTCTAATAACAGCCCACGGAGATGGAGATAATTGCCTTCAGGCTACTGGCCCTTCAAACATGACAGATCTGTAAGAAGGATGAGAAATTAAAGGTAACCAGGGTTAACCAGTCCCTCCTGGATTTCACCAGCTTCAAGAAAAGTCTACAAAATACAATTTTACTTGCCCTTGTCATGTTCTAGAAAACAAAACCATTTTATAGTCAGTGACCAAAAAAAAAAAAAGCAATAAAAATCAGATTTGGGGTTTTAGATTCTGATCTAATAATTGCTGCATTTTGATTTAAAAGGAAAAAAAAATCTGCTCAAATTCAAAATGAGTCTGAATCAAAAATAACATTCAGATTCCGTTTGTTTGAAATGAGAAAATTATCAGTACTTCATATTTATTCCGGAGTTAAGACCTTTTAATTATAAGTCATCTCTAAATAAATCTGATAAAGTTCAGTGTTTTGATGATGAATCTGAACGATTTTGGTCATTTTTAAACGTTTTGACACGTTCATGTGTGAATTAGCTTTTTGTGAGTGAAAAAGAGCAGTTGCGAGCTGGCTCTGACTCCAGAGTGAAGCTCTGAGATAACTCCTCCGCACCGTTTGTTTCTCACAGCTCCCAGATGGGGTGAACGTGTCCAAAGAAGCTCGCAGAGCCATCTCTCAGGCAGCCAGCGTGTTTGTGTTGTATGCAACCTCCTGGTGAGGAAAAAAAGCCAATAAAACTGCATTTTTGTTCACAAGATCAAGCTTTTAACACATTTGTGACCCAGCAGAAAGACCTGGATGGTTCCCGTCAACGCTCCTCAAGCCAGTTTCCTTTTTCCTTGCAGTGCGAACAACTTTGCCATGAAGGCTAAAAGGAAAACTCTGAACGCGGGAGACGTTCTGGCTGCCATGGAGGAGATGGAGTTCGAGCGGTTCATGGAGCCTCTCAGGGAAGCTCTGGAAGGTGAGAACATCATTAAGAATAGTCTGTCAGAAGACATCAGCAGGCAGCAGATCCAGTTTGAGGCTGGCTCTGTCGGAATGCCGAATCATGATGGGGTTCCAAGGCCAGTTCCTTGGATTTCCCACTCTGGACGGACCGTAAACGCAGCATTCTTGTAAATGTGGTTTTCTTATCAGATTTTTTTTTTTTTTTTTGTGTCGATAGGAACTTTTTCACCCCTGAGTAAACACAGAAAAGCCATCAGGTTCAAGTTCCTGCTGAAGCTTCCAGGTGTTCCAGCAGCCGGACCAGCTAACAATGTCTTTGTTCTCCACAGTCTATAAGAAGGACCAGAAGGGAAAGAAGGAGGTTTCTGAGCAGAAACGCAAAGATAAAGAAAAAAAGGTTGATTCTGAGAATGACAAGAGCAGAGAGGATGACGAGGCTGATGAAGAGGAGCAGCAGCAATGCATGGAGGAGGAGCCTGAAGAGGAGGTGGAGAACTGAGGACTCCACCCACATCTTTGGGTAGCTGATGTTAGACCGGACACACACCCGTCCAAACTCGCAGGAAACAGTCGGCCCGTTTCTTTATGGGCCTAACGTTTGAGACTTTTGATCCTGCACCAGGTCACCATCCATTCTGACTCGTAGGTTCCCCTCAAACTTCTGTGGTTGATTTTGGACCTCTGATATCAGAGTGAAGACTTTCACTGGGTTCTGTTTTAGAATGAAATCCCAGTTTTTTTCTTTACCATTTGTACTGTTGTAGTCATTTATTACAAAAGTCCTTCAATAAAAGTTTGTAATGAAACCTTCAGATTTGTCTCAGATCAGACAGGAAGTCTTCCTGTTGCAGGTTACCTCCACAGCAGGGGCCTGAGGAAGAAGGTTCCTCTACAACACAGTTCAGGAACCCTCCAAGGATCAGTGACCTTGGACCCTTCAGCACACAGAAGTCATCTAACCACATGACCAGGAGTTACCTTAAGCACCATGTCCAAACCATCGACATAAATATACAAAAAAAAAATAAAACGATAAAATTAACAGCAGGTCCACCTCAATGGTCCAAACAGCCTGATATTGGCCCAACCCCAATACTCACACTGCCACACTAGCTCAATACTGACCCAGGTGTGTGAGGCGTCAATTCTCAATGGGAAAGCCGATCACGCCCGCTTTGCACCCTTGATCCGCACTTCACCCAAGCCTGCAGTGACGCAGACTTGGGTGGAAGGTATTACACACAATCCATCGCCGCAGGAACATCTGAAATGCTCATTTTCCAACAAAAGTTCATTTTAGGACATTAGTTAATGCTCCAACATTTTAAGACAAAGCAATTTAAATGTTTTTCAAATAATATCCTGTTAAAGGTTTAAAAAAAAAATTGTGCAAGTGACCAGCATCCTGACATGCGCTACGATCGATGATGTCTCAATTTGGCCATCATTTGCACACCAGTATACTAGAGCCTTACAGCGCACTTGCAGGACTGCAGTGTGAGGACTGGTCCATTATCGGGATTCAGATCAATGACCTATAGTTCCAGTTTTAGTTCCTTCTTAAACCTAGACAGTTCTGATTCGGTTCTTAAATTATGTAACACCTACAGCAGTGGTTCTCAGTACTGGGGGGCCAGTATCCAAGACGTTTTCGGTTCTCTGCTTCATCACTCGTTTCAGTGGCTGAATGATCTGCAGCAGCTCTGCTGGACACCGGCCCTCTAGGACAGGGATCGAGAACTACTGACCTACAGGATTAATCTCAGAACTTCCTGGTTTTAAAGACCACCATCAGCCGCTCAGTTTTTATCACTTTATTTCAAACGGCTTCCTGTTCACTCAGAGGGACATTCCTGTTTGCCACTGTTGATGTCATCAATGACATCATGTGGAAGACGACCATCAATTGTGCAGCCAACAGACTGAGCAGTTCCCAGGATCTCCTTGATTGTTCCTGAGGAGGAGGAAAAATATTAGACCTGGTTCTGGCCCGTGCAGCAGCTTAATTGTTGAGACTGTTCCGGGCTTTTCGGCACAGGGACACCCATTTATGTGGGCGTCTCTGTTTCCTAAAGCCGGGTTGCTTTGAGCCTCCACTGGACTCTACTCGGCCACAGAAGCGGGCATGTATAGTGGCGGGAGGCTGATCCAATAAGCAAATTACTGAACCCGCCATCTTACCGGAGAGTTCCCTGGCAATGGAGCGAGGCCTCATGACACGAGCAATGCCCACGATCTCATCGAAGGTCACGCTGCCGCTGTGCTTAACTAAAAAAAAAAACAAAAAACGATATAACAGCAGGTCCACCTCAACCTAACTTGACCAAAACACTTAAAAGACTTACTGTTCTTGACCTTCTTCCTGTCACGAGGAGGCTCCTTCAGTGCTTTGATGATCAGAGCAGATGCTGATGGAACGACCTCAATCTATCCAAAACAAAAACATGTTAGCCTGCTGCAACAAAGAACCGGTATTTGACCCATTAGGACCTGCATGTATATATATTAGGAGGTGGTTAACATACTGCGGCCTGCCTGTTCTGGATAGTCAGCTTCACCGTGATCCTCAGACCCTTCCAGTCTCCGGTTGCCTTGGCGATGTCATCACCAACTTTCTTGGGAGACTAAAAAATACAAAATGAGCAACAGATGAGTTCATGTCAGGAAAAAAAAGTGACTTCGTGTTCCAGGCTTTTCGGCACAGAGACGTCCATTCATGTGGGCATCTCTGTTTCCTAAAGCTGGGTCGCTTTGAGCCTCCACTGGACTCTACTCAGCCACAGAAATTGGCTGGTATAGTGGCGGGAGGCTGGACAAAGTCACCAAGATCTGATACTCACCAGACCCAGAGGTCCAATTTTAGGGGCCAGGGCTGATGTAGCTCCCACTTCGCCTCCTGTGCACCTCATGTACACTGAAACACAAAACAGTTTTACCCTCTTAACTGCCTCAAGTTTGCCAATTAATCTGGAAGTTTAAGTCCTCAAAAATTTAGGTGCCATTACTTGAACCCAGATTTTTTTAAAATAAAATCATAAAATGCTGAAAAAATTTGTTTAAGCACATCACTTAAATCAGCACATATCTACATGTTAGGAACCTGTATCATCTCAGAAATCACTTGGTATGAAATCTCATACCTGGTTTGAATGTTTTTGGCCAAAAGCTGAAATTTCGTTAACAAGAATTGCTTAGTTAACTTCTTACTTCTAAAACCTTTTAAAGCATCAACTTTATTGACGAGTGCATGTTGCACCAGACTCTTAAACCCTGGTTTAGCTGAAAATCACCCTGTTCTCGAGTTAAGACTAAAAGCACAAGCTGCGGGATAAGCATCCAACCATGTGAGGTCGTTGATCTTAATAAATTTTTACTTTTGGAAAGAAAAAAAAAATCAAAATGTTGATACAATTCTGTAAAAGTATCTTTCGAAGCAGCTAACATTAGCATTAGCGGCTAACCGATGTGCTCACACGTGTAACTTAATTCCGCAGTCCTACCCACAACCCAATTAAATTCCACACCTGCTGTAATTCTATCTGAATCCAATTTTAACAACAAACCCCCATACAACCCTGCTCCCCGTTCTTCTACACCGGTGCGGTCCAATCTTTACCGTTTTCATGCCACGGCCCGAAGGCCACAAGGCGCGGAGGACACCGGGACACAGCGGCTCCGTCTCAGTCAACAAGCGGCTGCATTTATTACCCGAAAACATACCGATTTTAATCTCGTTGGGGTCGAATTTGGGAGGCATGTTGCTGCTGTAGAGGTTGAGCTCAGTTCAGCTTGGTTGGTGAGGGTGTCGGATGAACCCGGCTTCGGGACGACCGATAACTGTTGCACCTCCACCGATTAAGGGGAAAGGAAAGGCCGAGCGTAGGCCGCGGAAAGATTTATAACTGCACCAAATATCGCGAGATGTCATGGTAGCGAGAATCTCATGAGGGTACCCGTTCTGTTCATTTTCCCTTTTTTTGTTTGTTTGCAATGTGTGAACGTTTAAGAACCAACACATTAAATAATGTTCAAAAGACTCAAATTTATTACAATTTTAAACATTTGATTGGTAATGATAATATAACAATTATTAACTTTCATATTAAATTTATCAAGCAATTCTATAATAATACAGCAATGATTATACTAAATAAAAATCCCACTTGACACCTAAGTACATAAATAATCCATGAGCAGGCAGAAAACCCTTAAAGATTTAAGACTGCAGATTGTTTTGGAAAATGCTAATCTTGCTAAAGAGATACAGCTACTAAAAACTTAGAAATGTGTGTATCACATACGAAACAGTGGGCTTTATAAAGGAGGTCCATTTCTACCCTTGTGAAGAAAAAAAAAAGAATTCAGAAGTTATAACATGCTACCTCAAAAATAAGAGGGACTTTAATAATATATAATATAATATAATATAATATAATATAATATAGTATAATATAATATAATATAATATAATATAATATAATATAATATAATATAATATAATATAATATAATGATGAATGTTCAGTTTCTTATTGTTCTTCTGTGAAGTAAGAAACAGTGTAAAGGCATAGGGTCTTACATTCTAACCTACCTCTTTTCCAAATAATTAAACTGATTGGTGTAACTTTTACATGTTTGAAAAACAAACAAACAAATGCACGCAGCTATTTGAGAGCCAGATTAAATCAATTTAAAACGTTCTAATCTGCTTCCACAAAATTTTCTTTTTTTTTCAGAACAATTTTAAATATTAAAACATGAAACACGAACATAAAAATGGATTTTTGCATGAGAGTGTTTCAGCATCAGGAGAATCAGACAAGAGTGGCTTCATGTTTTCACAAAGAGCTGTGATATCAGAGTTTACCTGCTGTAGGAGGTGAGAGGAGGCTGGAGCTGCATGTGGGTGCTGAGAGGACGCCCCCTCCACCCTGCAGCAGGTAAGGGGTCGGGTGGTGGTGGGGGTGGGGGTCTCCCCTCCACCAATCTGCTTGCTGAAGCCCCTTTTGGGTCCTGGAGGACTTTTTGAGTCAGAGCCGCTATACAGGAATAGCAACAGAACACAAGAGGGAGTAAGTGGGTGAGAAGCAGAGATCATCACTGCCTGCCTGTTTAATATGCATCATGAAAATGTGTGAGGATGGTCAGAATCTCACAACTCCTACTCCAAAACCACAGCTTTGTGTGTTTACAGAATCCCTCTGTAGAAAATATCACGCTTGAATAATCTGATTGATGGACAGAAAGCCTCTTTTAGGATTACCATGACCTTTTATAACACAATGGTTTTAGAGTTTTCCACCAGGCTTCAAAGCTGAGCAGTAATCCTCTCCATCAGCTGGTTCTGATGTCCAGAGGAAAGCTGCAGATAAAATCTGAACTGCAAGCTGAGAATCAGGTATTTCTGCTGAAATCAGAATGTTTTACTGCTGTTTCTGAGCTCTGGATCAAACTGTGATGAAATATTCTGATAAATCTCCAGGGCCACAGCAGGGACAGATATCGACATGGTTCTGAATATCTGGGCTGCTGCTCATTTTTAGCTTCGCTCCACGAGGGAACGAGCTAACATGGTAACTAGTTCAGCGGTAGAAGAAGGAAGAAGGAATGTTTTTTTATACAGCGCCTCTAAAGATAAAATCCACGAGGCGCTTTACAAGAACAAAGTGTGAAAAAATATATCGTAATAAAAAATTGACGAGTGTAACGTGATGAAGGAGCCATTCCTCGAGGTTCTTTATCCTCTAACCACTGTTCCCTTTGACACAGCGCCAGAGTGCATGAAACAGCCTCAAGGTCATGCATTCGCTTCTAATCTGTTTACGTTCCAACAATGAAGACAGAAGATGAAGACTCTTTTCTTTTCTTTTATCAAATCAAAGAACTCTATTTTCAATAAAGCTTCAAAACAACTGTTAGTCAGTAAAACAATGTGACCGATCTGTGAAATCACAATATTATGATTAATATGTTTTTAATAAGTAAATGACTTATTCTAGTCACTAGACACGCTGATACAATAAGGTAAATTATCACATGACACATTGCCATTGCTGATCCAATCAGAACCTTCAAGTCTGAAGCGTGGCAGAGTCTCTGTGGTGTTTATTTAATCTGTCAGCTTTGATTCGTCAAGAATCAAAAACATCCAGATTAATAAAACAGTTCCAACGCCATTTTGAGGTCAGTGTTCAAGATCTCTTCTCAAGATCCCTTGGAGTTCACCGCATGTTAAGTGAAGTATGGACAGGCCATCTATACTTTTCTTTTTAAGCTGAGAACTATCAAGCTGGGAAAAATCTGTTAGTTACCAACCAACAGCAGTTCCTTCAGAATAAAAGCTGAACTCGCTGACCCGAGGAGGGTCCTCTTTTTGACACTGTGAAACACCTGTCGCTTTTTACCTGGAGACAATCCAAGCACTAGTCTGTCGTGCTGTGACGCTGTACCATTGGCTCCAGTACCGAAAGGAAGGTCCGAGGACCTGGGCATTCTGGATCCATCGTGGAGGTCTCACTGAGGGTATGTGGATGCTACAAAAATGGCATCTCATGTGGTTATTATGACCACGGGTCTCAAACTTTGATCAGTTAGGAGCAAAACATCATCTCCCACTCAACTTTGCTTCTCTGGATGCGGAGGTTCTGAATTTAACATCATTCACAAACACACCATCCACCTCACACTTCATTCCAACAGAACATCATCATTAGAGAGTTAGTCTTGTTAAATTGTTTAAAAATCATTTAGTAATAAATTCCCTTAAACGTTTGAAAGTCTCTCTCTTCTCTTGTCTCTCAGTTAATGCAAAGTGTTATTTAAAGTCCCTATAATGAAAAGATCCAATCTTCTGATTTAAATAACCCAGTGTCCGTAAGATGGGATTCATACTAGATATGAATCTATAATGTCTTATGGTCCTTAATTAAATGTAATTCTAATCCATAACACAAGGGTGTGTTTGGAGGAGAGATGGGTCAAAGGTCACACTAAGATTCCTGACAGAGGGTTAGGTGTGAGAAGCAAGCTGACCAAGAGAGTCTCTGACTTTGGGAACCAGCTTGTCTGGGGCACAGATGAGGATCTCAGTCTTATCTTCATTCAGCTGTAGAAAGCTCCCAGCCATCCAGGTTTTGATAGTCTAAGCAGGTGTGTAACAGCTGCAGCTTCGACATCTCACGGGGCTTAAAGGAGATGTACAGTTAGATGTCGTCACAAAGATGATATGAGATTCTGGAGAGGGAGCAGATAAAGGAGGAACAGTAGAGGCCCCAGCACAGAACCTTGTGGGACACCATGAGTGAGGGAGGTGGAGGAGGACAGATGGTCTCAGCAGTGTCGCTGAAACTGAACTAGAGCCAGGAGTCCTTTAACAGCTGAAATGTGGGTCCTGTCCACAGATAACATATCCACCATCTCCTGGTCCATTTGAGACATTTTGTTGTCCACAGAACTGATCTTTGTTTCTGTTCAGGGTTTCTTTGCGGCTCTTCCTCTTACAAAATCAGACCAGGTCGCATCTGGATGCAGCGGCTGCTGGTTTTCTTTTGGAGGTGGTCCCGAGACCATGTTGGAGTCAATGTCTCCTTCACTGTTGACTATCCAGCCATTGAGCCAAAGTTTGGTGTTCTAGTGGTTCTTCATTCCTCTGAGCACAGATCAAACATGATTCTAATATCAGACCGAACCAAAAACAACCAAACTCTGGAAGAAAAGATGGGACTCCATCGGAGTCACCTGTAACAATGACCTGAGGTGTATTTTTATGGTTTACATGAAGGGGGTGTGGCTTAAACCTTGTGCTAGAGCCAGACTTTAAAACCTTTCATTGACAACAAACCGCCATTTCTATATGTTTTAGTGACTGTTTGGCTCATGCTTTAAAACATTTAACACAGATTTTATGCGATAAAAAATAAGATGTGACTTAAACAGGGCAGTTCGGGAGACAAATAGATATTAAATGATTTAATCGGGACTTTGAAGTGCAGAGAGATGCTGAAGGAGATGATGGAGCTGCTGATGAATGAGTTTGTTGGATGAAACTCTGATTTTATCTTCTGGACTGAAAGGTCGTTAGCAGAGATCAGCTGTGTACTCAGGCGTCGCCGACAGCCGCTGAGACCCAGAACGTCGATAAGAGGAAATTGTTACAGCTGATTGGAAAACCCAAGAAAAGGTCAAGTACGAGATAAGAAAGGAGAATCAAATCGATTCTCAACTAGAACAGATGAGCCATCCAACCATGTGTGTGTGTTGGAATTAGTCCCCTCAGTGAAGATGAACATTATCTGATGATGGTTCCATCAAACTGAGTTGTTTAGGGGTTCGGCAGTTACCCAATCGCAGGAATTACAGTCATTAACCAGAGTTCAAAAAGTGTTTTAATAACAAAACTTCCTCCACTGACTGTAGGACTCAAAAACAGAAACCAGAATCGTTCCATAAACAGACAACTAGATAAGACAACTCCACGCTGAGGACCGGCAGCAGTGGCCTGAAATAGGGTGAGGGCAGTCATGGTGATGTGGTTCAGCTGCAGCACTCCAGGAGGTTCACACGGAAGGGGAGGGCTCCTGAAAGGAGCTGCAGCTGACCTGAACAAAATAACAGAGAACGGGGTTAAACAAACACAAAAAGGGGCGAATCATAACACCACTCACCAGCACCTTCTAGAAGTTCCAAAGGCCAGATATAAAAGTTGAGGTGATCGTTCCTTCCAGACTGTTGCACCCCGACTCTGGAATGATTTTTCTTTATCTTTACGCAGCATTGACAGTATGGACCCTTTAAAAAACAGCTAAAGACCCTTTTATTTAAATCTGCTTTTACTTCAATCTTTTATTTTGTTATTTTTTACTCAAATTT